ATATATATATTGTTCCTGCTCTCAGAGGAGTAAGATCCTTTTTCCTTCTCTCCTGCCCTCCCTTACCTTCCCTGCTTTGCTGCTTATAGCCTTCTCTACATTTTCATTTGAAATCAGAAATTATGGATATTTTTATTTTTATGATTTGGTTAGCTGGTCTCTTAAAAAACGTTTGGAACAAAGTTTTCTTTCATGGTAGGACATGTCAAAGGTGGGACCTCTGTTCTTCTCTGTTCTGGATGTATATTTGGATTCTGATCACTGGATTCTATAGATTGTCTTGGTGGTCTCCTGGTGTTCTACAAAACAATGCTGGTGGCTATTCGGGACCTTTCCTGGCTGCCTGACCAATATGAAGAATTGCCATTCTTTTAGCACTCAAACTTTTGCCTTGAGAAAGCGGGAACTCGGTCTGCAAGCGGATCTGCTGAGGGTTGCGGGCCGGCTGTGGTTCCTGGACTTTGCTGGCCAGATGGAATAAATCTTGGAGAAAGCTGATGGAGCGGCTCGGTGGGATTGTCCACACACTATTTGTCTGACTGGATTTGCCACATTGGGATGTACCAGCGGACATGGAGGCAGATGGAAAATTGTTGTCTACCTAAAACATTTTCTTCTGTTCCCAAAAAACAACTGATTACAGATTTGGCTCTCCCCTACATGGCCTTGAGCTGTGGAACTAAATTTTTCCTGGATGTATACGTTGACTGAGGGTCCCCCAGGGTCCCCCCCCCCCCCACACACACACACCCATCTGTGATCTGGTTCCTGGAGCAGGCTGAAGGCCACATGGAATGAACACTTAACATCCATGTTCTGAACTATGGTTGCGCTGGTTTTTGGGGACTAGATTCTTCGGGCTCATTCTTCAGATATTCACACAAGTACATACAACACTCATGGCTTCAGATACATGCTCCCCTAAACTCACTTACTCCTCTGGCTTTATTTAAATGTGCTCTATGCAGAGGTTTTTTCATAAACACCATAGTGTGTCACATTTGTTGATATAATATAATGTTTTTTCCCCTCATCTTCCCTTGTATGGTTTTTAGTTTTTCTGTTAAGGGTTGTGCCTCCTCATGATGTCTTCATGAAGATGATCCTTGCTCTGTACAGGATCAGTGAATAGTAGAAAGTCGTTACTTTTACTAAATTTTTGCTTTCACTCCAGCTTGTTATTGTAAAAAATAAAAACTATCCATATAAACTGTGCCTCCTAGATAGAGTGAATTTAACTGTGGTTGAATGAGAAGTATAAATATATAAAATTTTGGTACTGTATTAGTTTGTACACAAACAAATCATGTCACACTCCAGCAGGACAGAATCATTCAAATAAAAGGACTGTACTTAAGAAGTATTTGTATTTCATGAATTATATTATTACATTTGGCCGCAGCCCTCAGATAGATTTTCGTTTTGGGGAAAAGCTTTGTGCAGCCTTGATATATGTATATAAACTGAAAAAGCTGGACTTGTGCATCCTAAATTTAACATCCATTCATTATTTTAATAAAATATAGTAACTTCTGCCGTTTTGGTCCTTACAGAAAATCTAACTGCTCATTTTAAATCAATACTTTTAATTTTAATACTTAAGTGCAAAAAATATCAAATACTTTAAGTCTTTTACTCAAGTAATGTTCCTAAAGCAGACTTTAACTTTTACCAAAGTCATTTTTGGTAAGATACTTGTACTTTTACTCAAGTATCACTTTGTGGTACTTTATACAACACTGTAAATATGACCTACAATATTTTCTTTCCAGATTCGCAGAAGAGCATTTTCATTATAGTAAAACATTGATCAAAACGAAACAAAGAAATTCTGTGGTTTGATTATATGTTACAAGGGCTTGCCATACTTATCTTGTACCTTTAAGTTTTGCGCATCGGTGACGTTGTCTGTTGAGGGCGTGGCCGGCCTGTGAAATGTCAGTGAGGAATGGCGCTCGGCGCGGTATTTTGAACAATCGCTTGTTTTCCCCTTTGCTTCTCTTATCTGGAGACGCTGCCTGGCGTTAAAGTCTCGGGTAAGCGCGACTCAGTGTTGGCCTCTTTTATACCTCACTGAGCTCTTTCCATTTGGAAAGCGCAAAGTTAGGAGTGTGTGTTTGTGTGGAGAAATATTGTTGTGCTAGCTAGCTCTGGTTAGCAAGCTCCGTAACTTTGCTCGTACTGAGAGTTGTCCTGCCCGCTGAAGGGAGTCGAACAATTTAGGAGTATTCTCTTGAAATTAGGGTTAAATGTAGTATTTCGTGTGATGAAACAAAAACAGACTCACAACAGACATTTAATATTTGCTTGAATAATACGCGCCCACAAAATGGAAAGTAAATGTTAGGTGGCATGATTTGTAGGAGTTGTATTAGCGACATCTGTACATTAGATTTTTGATTTCTTCAGTGTAAGTTATACACAGGAACCCACATTTTGCAAGCTGTTTGTAATGTACTGAGCTGTAGTAGAGGTATAGATTTCGTGTATTTTTTTACCAGTGTAAACTCACATACATAACTTGAATTCAAAGAGGACAGTAAATTAAAAATGTGTCCATTTTAAGTGTTTTAGACAACCCTTGTCAAACATTAAGCCTTTATAGAAAACTATATTAGCAGCTGTTTAAACTGGATTGTTGGACCCAACACTAAACTGTCACTCTCAGGTGACAGTTAGCATTGTTTACATGATGTCAGTGTGCTGATGAAGGTGTTTTGTAGGCTTCTTGTTTGTGACACAGTTCACAACGACACTCCTCTGTGTTTCTGCTGTAGCCGCTGTGTTTTGCCATGGTTCGTCTCCATTAATGCCATGTAGCTGTATTAAACCCTCAGTGTTAGCCGGTGAGCTAACCGAGTTGATGACGAGATGAAAATGGCGGATCTTTCGAAATCCAACCCGGGCCTGAAATAGTAACGTAGCCCGCAGAAAGGTTTGCTTCTGTCCCCCGTGAGTCGCATCGTTTCTGGGGATGTCTTTATCATTCCACGCATCCTCCTGACTTATTTAAGGACGTGAAATCATCCAGACATGATGGCTGTGTGTGGCTAGGGGCAGATACGTGGTTCATGTAGGTTTCGTTGGATTAATGTTAGGCAGGACAAAGATCCGACTGAGATTAAGCGGTGCGGCCTAGCTAACCCACATCAGCTGTCAGCTCCTGTCAAACCCACAAAACTAAATTCAGCTCATTTCATTACTGATGACCTAGCATTCATTAAAGGAATGTATTTCTGCCCGCCACCCTTCGTGCCGACGTTTATCTTGTTCTGGAAAAGTAACTGAGTTGTAGCGGTTTTGATCGAATAACTAAAACATAATGCGCTAATCTTGAGTCATGTGTGGGGATGTGTTGACTCTCAGCCACAGTACCCATCATCATATTTTAGCTGTGTACTTATAAATTAGACTGAATTACACACAATTATGTGTTTGCTAAGGATAACTGTCTGTAGTAAACATGTTAAAGTTGATCAGCTGTAGATATAAGCTGTTATTAATGTTTCATTAAAACTTCTCCAGTGGCTCCTGAGATTGTTTGCTAACCGACAGGCATGAGGTGCCGTTTGTAAAGTTTTACAGTCAAAAATTACCACCAATATTTTTGTTTTATTTAGCCTTTTATAAGAAAAAAAGAACAGATTTATTTTTCATCCATCCATCCATC